AGATTCAGTGTGTATGTGGGTGTGGGAGTGGGGAAGCATATGTTTACTCCTATTTTATGAGCAAGCGAAAAGTTCATTGTGGTTACAACCTAGAAGAGCCTATGCGACAAAAACATTTGGATGAAACAGTATAATATTACAGCACAGAGGATACTGGTCCAAATTATGCTTATGGTAATGATAAATTATAACGATAAAATGACAAAAAAAAATTCATTTTGTACTGTAGATCTTAGATTAATATTTATTACCTTTGCAGTCACAATTATATAATAATATAATAACATATTTATACAAATGAATGCCAAGTGCTGAAACTACAAAGTTAATATACTGGAGGTTTATACTAATATATTCACTGAAGTCGACTGTTAATAAAAAATATACTGTATATTTCTTGCCCTAGAAATTATAAGAAAACAACTACAATTAATAATTAAGTTTAGTATTGTTTAACCTCAGTGATTCTTACAGTAAAATTAAGCATCAAGAACATTGAGAATTTAATTTGATACAGAGATGTGTCACTAATATAAAGAGGTAACTTAACCAAGCATTTATGGTGATGAGCTGAATATTGCACTGAAGAAACATTGCACAGTAATAGGATTTTATACATAACTTGTATTAGTACAGTAAAACAAAGGTTCCAGTTTTGTTTCTTTTCTTGCGCATTACTAAAGATAAAATTATTAAGCAAAACCTGAGAAGACTGCTTCATTGAATTACTACTATACTATACTAAATATAATTCACACCATAATATTATTAATAACAAAACAATAATAATAATAATAAAATATATCAATAGAAATAATTGAAAAAATGTAGATTACAAAAGATCTGTCCACTGAACAAGATTTAAAACATGGATAGCAAATTTGTGGTGAGCTTCTTATCGCTGACTGGGAAAACATGCATTATAATACAATATAATTACAAAATATTTGTATAATATACAGATAATTTAGCATAAAATGTGAACAATATTTTTTTTAAAATAATGTAAAACATTGGTTGGTCATTTAAAATGATTAAAAAAACAGACATACTGTAAATTCCAAAAGTTTTCATTACTATGATACAGTGCATTAATTCAGTGATATGCAGTATGAAGCTTCTAGAAGAAATTTAATTATGTTACTAATCTTGAGTGATGTTCTTGTATTGAATATTTCAAAGTACTGTACTACTCTATAATGTGTATGTTTTTGTATCATATCAACATTTCACTACTGTACATACAATATCATTAAAATCCCCCCTTGTTTTACGGAATATAAAACCAAAACATTGTTTGCGACGATATTTTTCACTTTAACACACATAACTGAACACAAAATTATTAGTGTAGAAATTCACTTAACTTAACCACCAAGCTATTCAACTCCTCTGCAATAAACATAGTTCTACCAATGGCATATTAATCCGTGATCAGAGATATAAGATGGTTAGATAATTTAAATAAAATAATGATACTTCATAATTAATTGCATAGATTTCATAATTACAGTGACATCATGAAATAGGGGTAGTAAATATTTGTTAGCCTATAAAATGCTGCATGTCATTTTACTATAATTAAAGTAGTTAATTCTCTGAGGGGGCCAACAAAATATTTTTCCTAAGCAATTTTTAAGAATTGCACAATATGTAATATGTATACTTCATTGTCCTTGCACAGCAATTAAATTACACACTATAAAGTAGAAAGTATTAATGCTAGGTTTGTACTTTAAATTCCAGGTTTAGGTCAAACAATGATTTCATCTCACAATACAAGGCTTGGTTTCAAAATATCTAAAGCTGAAAGAAAAAATAAGTATGTATCATTATACAGGAGTAAAAAGATTGTTGCATAATTACGACATTTTTTTTGTATATATATTCAGTTTATCATTCATTTATTTAGTCATCCATTTTTATAATTATTTAACCAGACAGGTTCAAAGTTACAATGAAAATAGATTGCTAAATGTAGTGTAAAATGTTTCTTGGATTTTTCTATGATCAATATTTTTTAGATTATACATACTGTATGTAAGATCATGAATTGTGAGAAAGACAGAACAGTTCTTTGTGTGCGTGAGGTGAGTGTATTCAGCAACTGTAGAATGATTGAAAATACAAAAAGTTCTTTATGTTATTAGGCATAAAAACTTGGATTTAATTCCAATTTGACTGTTTGCATACAATATACACAATATATTTTTTATAAATAGACTTAATTGTTTTTGTAAATTTACAATTAAATTATCCCATTGTTTTACATTGTCCCTATTATCTTTTCCCGAGTGGCTTGAATACAATATACAATACATTGTCTGTAGAGAAGAAATAGATTTAGTTACGTTTTTGTAAAGTTACAATGCAAACTATCGTATTGTTTTACATTGTCCCTATTATTATAAAATTTTGACAAATGTTTCTCTAAAGTTATCCTCACACGTAGCTAAAACAATAATAAATGACAAAATTTTATGTGAGCAATAACCAAAATGTGACCAGTAATTAAATTACCAAAAATGATTAAATTTAACTTAAAATACAGTATCATCTTTGAAATTATGAAATAGGAAACGAAAAAAGAATGAAAACCACGTTTTTTTGTAGATGTATGACCACACTTACAGTAATATTAAAGAATTGATTAAGGGATGCAATCTTTCAAAGAAAAAAAAACAACTAAGTTAACAAGAATATAAAAGAAATTCTATTGTTTTTTCCTGGGACAGTCAGATTATACATTGACCTAGAAATTTGTTTTCAATAATATTTTTCCACTGATTAATATATAGCAAATTTATCTATAGCTGGATATCTGGGTATATATTTTAAAACGTGAGGAAGACACATGGTTTTAAAATTTTTTAAAGTACTGTAGGACCCAATAATTAACTGTTTCATTGGGCTGATATTTTTCAGAATAGTTGAACAGCAGCATCAGATAAGATATAATAAGCCTCAATTAGTTTACCAAAAGAAAACAAAAAATGTATTTGTTATATGCATGAAGTTACTGTATCCATGGTGTATGTACTGTACAGTATGAGGAATGAGCAAAATATAAAGTACTGTATGAATACCCTCAGAAATGATTATGGATGTTTTATAAAACTGATTACTACTTTGGCGTATTACTTACTTTCAGCAGTCTTTTCATAAGGTGACTGGTTGTCGATATCAGCTTGATCAAGTCTCAGGATCCTCAACGATTTTCGGTTAATACGGTAGCTTGTTCTGATCAATTTTCAATAAAAACATCCTCGTTGGCAACATTCAATCAAAATTCTTTTGTTTTTAATCTGCACTGTGATCTTTTTTTTTCATTAAAGTAGAATGAGTACATTAGGTAAGAGTCCATCTCAAAAGATATTAATTAGTAAGTCCGATATATGGAATTCTCAAAACAAGTCCAGACCAATGGAGTCTCACAGATGTTATGCAACACTCCAAATCAGTAGTATTCGCCAGTCCTGAGAACATCGATATTCTTTTAACAATACAGCGTTCTAAGACAGCGTTGATGGAAGGTCTTTATGCACTTTGTCTGTATTCCAAACCTCTCACTTATATAAATTGTCAGTACAGCTCTGTAGATGCGAATCTTGTAAAGGTTTGTATGTTGTGAAAAAAATAAAAAATAACAAACTATATTTAAATACGAATATTCCTCAAAAAATATTCTCTCTCTCTCTCTCTCTGTCTCTTGGCCTGCCTACTGAACTAATGCTATCTGGCTGTGGTTAGTTCGTCAACGATATACTACGGGTAAGCCATAAAAAGTATTATGAATTGAGATTGTGAATGCAATATACATACTATACAATATAATTAATTATAATAATAATAATTACAATACCGTATAATACTCTTTAAAAAAATAGTATATTTTATATATATTTTTTTTAATTTTTAGGAAAATAACATATAATAGGCATGGCCTATATGGTGAGTTGGATAACCGAGCGGTTAAAGGAGGGGAACCTCCGTGTACAGTTATAATATCGGATCGGTTAGAACGGCACGTACGCCTAGGTTCTGGTTGTGAAACAGTTCTTCACGGATAAGGACTATAAACAGTTTAATTACTTCGAGACGAGTAGGGGGTTTAGCTACCCCTACTGAAGAGTGTCGCTGGTACCGGTTTACCGGGTAGCTCAGACACGTAGAGACCCTTAGGAGAGAAGCAAGTTACATAGAGTAAGAGCCGTCCACACCTTGAGTGCTTTGAGACTATTTCGGTGTGAAGCGCTTTATATAAATCTATTTACTAAAATGTTCACATCAATCATCGTAGAAGCTACAAAGCCTTAAAATATGTTTAATTCATTTCGCAACAAAAATGAGCAAATTGGTGGCGAAACAATTACTTGAAGCTAGAGTAAAAATCACCTCAGCCCCAAAAGAAAGGACCCTACCCTGCCAATATACCAGGATTAGCAGGCTGGAGCCATAGAGACCAGCCCAGACTAGGGCCTACGTCTGTAACATTTTAATGTTCAATCGCAAGTTGGATAGGGCCGGACGTCTCCAGCCCTGACGGGGCAGTAGGCACCTACATGCTTATATACTCTAATCCTCAACCCTACTTATGCAGACTGGGCTAGGCCTAACTTGAGCCTCCTCAGGCCAATGTCCTATGTCACAATGTAGGCCTAGCTAGGGGCCGGGCATAGCCCAGCGGGTCAAACTCTCCTATATAATACGAAGCCTAGGCCAGGCCTGTAGAGGCCTAAGCTAGTAGGCTGGATAGAGTCTGACAAAGCATTCTTCTTGTTGACTGTGTTGTTAAAGAGTTTTGGAAAAAACATTCTAGGCCTACCTGTATACTGTAGTTTTATATATTTTCTAAATTTTGAAATACACAAAAGCAAGTCCATATTTCATGATGCTATCGTGTACTACTATATCGCTAGGCCAAGGTCTTGTCCTTACACAAAAGTAAATCTTCCATTTGTTGGGGTTTTAAAAATACATAGAAAAGCAGTATATATTTATAAGCTTGTTAACACTATATTTTAATTTCATACAAATATTTTATTTAATTAATAATAAGATTTGTTTCAAACACTAAAAATCCATTATTGGAGTAGTGGGTTACCCCCTCTCGGTATGCCTATCCGTTAGTACTAGAGAGAAGGTTAGGAAGTGGTTGCTTGCTAACGGAGATCATTAATGATCAATGACGAAAGTTAACAGATAATCAATTGCATTACTTCTCACAAGTTAACAATTACGTATGTACTAACTAACTGCAGAATCAGGTGAGTTAGCTGAGCTGGACTTGTTATTATTTTATCTGTTTGACGCTAAATTATACTGAAGAGTCCTACAAGTTTATTTCATTTCTTATCATCAGCCATCAAGAGCTGTTATCCACCAAACACACAATAACGATAAATACAATACAACAATAAATATAATTTCAGCTATAATGGGACTTACATAACATTCTTAACGTTACTCTGTGTCTGTGGGTGTCGTGGTCATTTGTCGCCACTCATCCCTGTCAAGCATGGTCTTCTTTAGTTCGTCCCGTTCAAGTTTTGTGCCTTCCTTTAGAGGGGCAAGCATGGTCAGGCGGGGTCTCCTTAATTCCTTTTTCTCTTCAGGTTTCCAAGGAAGAACTCGAGGAGACATAAGACCGGTTTTAATGTGAGGGGAGAGTGTGGCACATTAATGTTTTAAAAGTGTCAATGTAAAGAAGCAACAGATAGGGATGTAAAACCACAGGAATAAGAACATTATCAGCTTACAGCACTTTTTTTTTCTTCATTTTCACTAAAATTAGAGATCCTATCAAATAAAGTTATTCACAGAACAAGCGTGGAGTACAAAGATAATTTTATTTTATATAATGTCCATCTCCTCTATACAATATTTTGTGAGCCTAATTTGGTCGCGACCCATCGTTTGAACATAGGCTTTGAACTGTTATGAAGTCATTGGTATAAATACAAAGACTAGAAAATAGAGCTAAGAGGCCTTCTTGGCATCATACGCTAAACAATGCTAGTTATTAATCAGTATTACCCACTTTATATGTGTCGGCACCGAATAAAAGTTACTACTGTTATTGCTACTAAAATATGAGACCCCGTCACATAAATCTGATTAACATTAGGGGCGGGATTAGTATGGGGGGGGCGCCTGCGACGCGCTTCCCCCTTTTATCAACTTTTTTTTTAGATAATTGAATGGATACTCAATTCCATAGAAAGGTTGATTCTATGTCACATCGCGCAATGCATAGCTACAAAGAAAGTTTAAGCGCATATGCACCAGCCGGGAAACTTTCATGCAATCAAGCACTCGCTATAACAAAAAAAAAGAAAAATTTACACCCACAGTGTTTAAGTCTTCTTTTCCTACCAAAAACACCCTAGGAGAGGGCTATTCATAAATCCACTGGGTGAGAAATAGAACACTTGTAAGTTACTCAATGTTAATATACAGTAGCGGATTTTGATGTTTGATGAATTTTTTTAACGGATTTTGGATATTAGTTTTCCTTTTTGCTGATTTTTTTTATTATTATGCTCGATGTTGCTGAGAAATTTCATCATGTTTTCTAGAAGTGAAATTTCTCTTTTGAAATGGTGTACATTTATTAGCCTTTGCAAGTTGTCAAAGATTATGCTTGAGAAATTCATGGAACAGGCACTAAGACCCACAGCTGTGAAGAGATGAATTATTATTAATTTAATGACACATTTCATATTTGCATATTGCAGGTACCCTGTATATTTAAATTTCTAATAAAATACATACACCTATTTTTTTTTTCTTTTATTTGTTACTGAAAACTACCATGCTAGATAGTCAAAATCGACTTAATACGACCTCATATTCCTCAAATGAGCTGGGCTTCAAAGGGGCTTCACCCCATTGGACCCCAACTAGAGCTCTGCCCCTGGACCCCGCCGGGGGTCCTAGGCCGCCCTCTGACCCCGAGCCTAAGGCTGCTCGCTTCGCTCGCTGATTGCCCCTTCCCCCTTTTCTGGCAGGCTGGACCCGTCCCTGAACATAAACAAGGTCGGAGTACAAAATATTCTATTGTAATTCCGACGACACTACAAAATATTTTTGGCCCTATTTTGGGTCGCGGTCTATAGTTTGAAGAGTTGTAAACCATCTATAGAGTTGATTTGTTAAGTTTCCATTCATGGATTAAGGTCTTGTAGATCATGTCTGACTCAGCTATTATAAATTTTCAAGGTTTACATAATGGTAAAGAGACAAGGGCGTTCCCTTTGATGTCCTTAATCTCTATCTTGGTTGCCGTAAAGTCCTTCACTCTGTAGATCATGAGCGTTTAGAAGTCAATTCCATGGCTACATATAGTTAACAGTGGGCGGTTCCATCGGGGGGGGGGGGACGAGTGCCCGTCCGCTCCCCCCCCCACCTTCAGTCTCGCCGACAAATTAAAAAAAAATTGAGAAAAGATAAAGGGAAGAAAGAAAGAGGGAAAAAGTGTACCCATGGGTTCAGTGACGGATCCAACAGAGGGCGAAAGGAGAGCTCGATTATTTTACCACTCACTAATTTGGAATTTTCTATTGATTGAAAACAAACAAAAGCTATATTCCCAACGCATAAATCATGATTTAAAAAGGCCAAAAGGCGGATACCTAAAGACAGATTTTTTTAGCCGGAATGTAGTACCCAGCTATAGAACAACTATAGGCCTACATGCTCAACATGGAGTAACGCTTGCGCGTTCTCGTGCGAAAATCCGTAGTCCACCGACCCTTAGGAGCCCTTTTGATGCCCCTACCAATGGGGGTCCAGGGTCCTCGCTCTATATATCACACTGATCCTAAATGGCTTTGTTAATAACATCATGATGTGTCTCTGACAGCGACTGTATGACATATACGCCTATTATATTAATCCAGTGGGGGTGGGATGCCCAGCCGGCCAGGGCCACCCTACATTTGTCAAAATTGAAAAAAAAAATGAGATAACATTTTAAAATGTTAAGACTGAATGAGTGCCATTTCCGGGCATCTAAAGGTGCCACAATCCTAATTTGCTTTGCGACTACCCAGTATAGAATGGACTGGCTATAGGTCCTTTGATCAGGCCTTTCCGATGCCCGTGAGGGGAGGGGTGTCTAAGGAAGGAGGAGCATACGAGGGAGCATAACTGCCGTCGGGAGGAAGTTAATAATTTTGTCGAGAAACACTGCTTTGAAAAAGCATTTTTACCGTTTGAGAGTGCCATTTCCGAGCGTCTGGAGGGGCCTATTCGTAAAATTTGCTCCAAGGGCCACTGATCCTTAAGGGCCCCTTCGGCGCCCCTACCCATATTTCCCAGTAGGGTCCTCGCTCTATAGCACCCTGATCCAAAGGGCTTTGCTAATTATAATAAATGATTAAATAATAATGATTAAATATATTAATAATAATTATTATTATTATTAGCATTATAAATAATAATATTATGCAAATAATAATTATAATAATAATAATATGAAAATAATAATTACTCTTATTATAAATAATAATAATATGAAAATAATAATAATAATAATAATAATAATAATAATGATAATAATAATAATTATTAGTATTGTTATTATTAGTAGTAGTATTATTCGACTGGTGTAGATTCATCTATCCAGGTTGACAATAATAAATATCAATTACAACTTTATATCTCTGGATACAGCAGAAAACAAAAGAACTTACGTTTTAAGCTTTCGACCATCACTGTAGTTTTGTTCACAATGACACACGATGGAAATTGCGTCATAGGGATTGTGACGTCAGCGGTGAGGCTGGGTGGGCCTGTTCCATGTCCCCCTCCTCCATTCCTGCCTTTAAAGTGTTGTTCCATATGTTTGGAGGATTATATTTTCCACCATCTCCATTCAACGTTGGTCTGTTGGCCCTGATGTAGACTGCTTCCTTGACCCCTCTCTCAAACCATCTTGGTTCCACAGTTAGGATGTTAGCCTTATTAAATTTGACGCTATGGCCCGGAAACACATATATATGTTTTTAATATGTCTACCAGGATGGGTTATAGATAACGACTTATCTTATATATATATATATATATATATATATATATATATATATATATATATATATATAATATATATCAGTTAAAAAATAGCTGCTGTACCGCTGCAAATATCATTCATTCATTGTAGCAGTTAAATGAAATACATGTATCAGTTTTATAGCAGTTACATAAATATATTGAAAAGCAAGTATCAGTTAAAGTGGTATATCTTTAAATATTAAAAAAAAATACATTAACATCCAGATCATAACGTTTTTAAAATTGTTAAAATAATAATAGATCAATACGAACATTTAAAAATATATTTAGAGAAATATATGCCTAAAAAAAATACATTAACATCCAGATCATAACGTTTTTAAAATTGTTAAAATAATAAAAGATCAATACGAACATTTAAAAATACATTTAGAGAAATATATGCAGCAAAAATGGCTAGTTATTATTATTATTATCATCATCATCATCATCATCATCATCATCATCATTATTATTACTATAATTAAATATTATTATGATTATTATTATTATTATTATTATTATTATTATGATTCGGTCCGACTTGAAGAACTCCGTACCGAATGGGACAAAATCAGAGAGAGTACCCTTTACAGGGCCGGCGGAACGTTTTCAAAGTGTGGGACCCACTTATAAGATGAATGGGAATATATGAATCATGCACATCTGGAATCAACTCCAAGGGGTGGGGGTTAACATTTTTCCCAAAAAACATAAGGGGATCCGGGGGTGCTTGTAGAGCCCACAAATGAAAAAATCTACCACAAATGTAAAAATAACCTCAAATGTCAAAACATTCCACCTTCGCAAATGTCAAAATAACTGCAAATGTCATAACATTTCAACCACAAATGTAAAAATAAC